GGCACCGGAACAGCTAACATAGCTCCTAAGTCTGGAGTGATTATCATTTTTTTCCTCAGTCAGTATTAAACTATGTGTCCACATCAAACTTATATTAAAAGTAATTTGAATTTTATAAATATGTATGTGGAACTAAACCATATTTTTTAATTTTATTGAGAATGCACAGTCCTGAAATAAAACCTTTACTTTGATTAGGGACAACCCTCCAAAGAGTATTTTTAGTTCGACTGTTTTATCTTGTTGGATTCTAATCTGTTCCTGAGGTGCCCAATATGGAAAAAAAAAAAAAAAAAAGTACTTTTTTTCAGTTTAAAAAGAAGTTGTTTTTCCTTTGACTGTAATACTTTACAGGATAAATGAAGCAAGGCTGATTTAGTTACGTGGTACATCTGTGAACCGGTCTCATATTATCTTTGTGAATCAAACTTCATATTCGAAATTAATAGGACTTATTTCACTTAGGTTAACAAATTCTAAACATACCTGGAGAGAATTAAAAACTATAAAATAGAAAATATCATGTTTGGTGTTAATCCAAGAAACTGCAGAATCCCTGAGGTCCATGCGCATTAATGTTTAGTAAAACCAGTCTCAGGAAAGGCAGTCAGCCATGTCACCAGTACTGCCAGCTAACGCATCCTTGTCCTGCCCATTAATTAGCATGCAATTTGCTACAGCTAAGTTAAATTGCTTCCATAGGTAAGCAATTAAATTTTTTTCCTTGTTAGACATTTTAAAGGACTTCTCTTGGTTGGCCCTTGAAATTTCTTTTGAGATAGATGCTTTCATCTGTGCCATTGTGTTAAAAACAACTCAAAATAAAATCCGCCATTTACAAGGGGAGAGGGAGATGAAAAGGAAGTCAAGAACAGCAAGAATTCAGCCCCTTGACAAAGCGTGAAGTATCCTGTTGACTTCAGAGTCACGATGTCACTCGCTGACTGAACGTGGCAATAAAAACCTTAACTTACTGGCACTGAAGTATCAAAACTTGGAAGCTACCTAAGTCATGCTTTCTCCCTGGGACAAAGGTAGGGCTGTTCCCTTCCTTCTATTGAGTAGTTGCAGGGAAATCCATGAAGCTACTTGCATGTGTGGGAGAACTGTACCTCTTGTTTTTATTTACTGTTAGACTCAGGGATAATTGGCATACTTCTGCATAATCCAATAAGCCTAAATACCTTTGGCATTGAAAACAGAAACACTCTTATCTTACAATGCTGGTTTTCTTCCAACTGCTAGAGAGAAAGCCTTAGTACGTGTTATTCTGGGAATGTGAAGATTGGGCAGAGATTTTTCTCTCCAGGCTGAGGGACTGCTCTGGCTGACAAGCACGCCTCTGTTACAGCCGAACCCTGCAGAAGGGGCTGTTGTGCCTGCAGCTGCTGCACTGGGTGTGTAGTGCTGTGTACAGCGTACAAAGTGAGCGTACAAAGCGCCAGGCATCGCATTGTTCTTGCAAACACAAAGGCTTGAACTAAATTATTTTTCTGTCTGTTATGCTAACATCCTACTGGGAGCCGTCCCGTTACCTCCTTACTAAGGGGAGATGCAATGAGGCACTCGAGCTTGCACCTTTTGAGTTAGGTTTAGGTGTATGTCACAGCAGCTCTTAAAACTGGGCTAATCCGTAGATGGCTTTTGGAAAATTCAAAGAATTTGCAGCTGGATAAGTAATACTCAGCATTGATCAAGATCCTATCTTTCCCAAGTCAGAAGTCTACATAATTTATTTCAGGATCATGACTTCACACGTACAGGTTAATCCTCCAGGAATACAGGGCTCTCCATTTCCCCTGGATTCCAACTGCTTTGCTACTGAATGTATTTCATGCTATTTTTACCTGAAAAAGAAAAAAAAAAAAGATATGGGTAGAGAATTAGGACATTACCTCCTCTTATTTTCTTATTCAGTGGGACTTGCTTTTATTTAACCTGTAAAGGAATATATATGTATCTTTGGAAAACTATATCTTATATATAGAATAATATATAGGAAACTGAATCACAAGGGGATAAATACATCAAAAGGATTTGGTATCATAAATTTCATTTGTGATTTGATACCACCAGAATCCTGGGCTGTACTGATTTCCTTTCAGTTTCTCTTATTTTTGTATTTTATATAACACATGGATGGTACTACCCATGCAAACAAGAGCAGACGTTCTCGGGTTTTTCTCCAGATCCCAATTCCCTCCTTCCAGTAATTCCTGGGCTTGCACGGCTGCTGCTACCAGCTTCAAAAGCTGTGCCAGGAGCTCTCTCCAGCTTTGGGAACTGTTGCTTTCCCATGGGAGAAGGTTCTCTGGCTTCTCTGAACTGGGAAAAGATGGCACATGAATGCAGGGAAAGGCCTGACCAAGCACGATCCAGATCCCTCAGAGTCTGCCCTGCAAGGTGGATTCGCTTCAGCACGTTGAAAACAGAGCACGGCTTCGGAGCTGTGACCCTGTTACGGTGAAGCTTTCCAGGGTTGGAGTTGCGTTTGTTATCTGGGTGTGTCCCACGGTCGTAAAATATGCTTCCCTAAAGAGCCAGGAAAAAAACAGCATTGTAGCGATAGCAGACTCTTAACTGAGAACAGTTCAGTAGTGCCAGTTCTTGTGTAACGAATCCATGTATTATATAAAGTATAATATGGAAATATAAGTGTAATGCTTGTTATTAAAAGTGCAATTCAATGTACATGGTCACAACAAATGTTTACTTTTTTAATTGTTACAGAATTGTTTGGATCAGTACCTTGTTATCATTGTGTGAACGATGCCTTGTAAAATAAATGGAAACACAAACGAAATGGGAATAAGGTTCTTATTTTCATAAGCCATTTACGTAAGAAACAGCTTAAACCTGTTTGCAATAAAAACCAGCTGCCGTGTCAGGTTTTCTGATGCGGGTCACTCCAGCTGGTTATTTTCAAGCAGCACGATCACACTAGGACACAGCGACTCGGCAGATGAGCTGTCCAAAACTTGCGCGTGCTACATAGCTAATTCCAACCCGTTTGTTAGGGGAACGGACTTGTCGACGATGGGTAACCCGTTCCGCGGGAGTCTGACAGACAGGCACCGTGCTGCAGAGCTCACGGGTCACCCCAGTCCTCCTCTCTGAGCGCCAGTCTGAGCCTTTGCCAGCGCAGGGAACGTACTGGCAAATGTGCTTGTCCTAGAGGTCGCTGACACACAGCAGCGGGGAAACAGGAGTTGCTGTGAAGGGCTTCGTGCTCCCCTGGAAGCACGCCAGAGAAACGGGCAAGTGAGCCACGAGGCAGCACGCCTGATGGAGAGACGTAGGGAGCACAAGGAGCCAGCAAGAAACAGAAAACTGATAACGGAGAAGCGTGGCAGAGCCAGACCAGGACAACGCGGCATTTACAGCAGTCAGAAGTATTCAAGTGCTTTATAAAACCATTCTTCCATGTGAGCAATTGCTCTAGGATTTATTTTTTATTAATTGAGATGAACAGCCATTGTTCCCAGATAACTGGAAAAAACACACAGCACTTCAGGAGAAGATAGGAAGGCACAGAGGTAGAAAAGCTGAAGATAAATTAACCACTTGGAAGTATTTAAGCAGGCCTAACATTTTGTATCTTTTTATCTCTGCGTGGCTATCCAAAGACTAATCACTTGCTACCAATGCCTGCAGGCAGAAGCAGGATGGCTACTACGTGCCAGATGGAGAGGCCACATCCCCTCAACGCCCTCTCAGGTGCTTTTTCCTCCCATCCCCAGAGCCGATGAGCACTGCAGATAATGCTGTGCTGTATTTTGTCTGCCAGACGGACTAGACCAGGCTCATTCAGCTGAGTTTCAGTACTCCTACTAACCCTAACCTAGCTCCTTTCCGCCCTCCTGATGCAGGAACTGTCCTGATTCTTCTCCCCTGCGAGAAGGCCTGCGCTCCTTGGGAGGACGCGCAGAAGAAGGAAACTTGGCTTTCTCAGGCTCTCTTCCGTTTCCAGCCAGGGGAGGACGCAGCATCCGGGTGCTACTGCAGCTTTATGCAAAGGAGAGCTGCGTGGAACTTGCTTTGACAAGAGTGACAACTCTTCCACGTGGAACCTGCCACTCAAGTGGAAGCGCCACGGGCACCGGAATGCTCCTGATTTAAGGAAACGAAATAAACAGGGTTGTGGTTTGTTTTTCTTTTTAAATCTCAAGAAAAAAAATCAAATTACAGGCTCACTTACAAATGCTTTTATGTTTTAGTGAAAGCATCTTCTTCTCCAGAGGGAAATGAAATTATAAAGCCCTACCAATTTAAATTCTAAAACATAAGCAATACCTAATGTAAGACCACAACTGAGAGTGGAGAAACTCAAAGATTAGAAACGAAGGAAAAAACCCACAAAGTTTTTTATTGTCTCAGTGGCTGCTTAACAGAAAGATCATAAGGAAACAATTCCTGAATAAGCAACCGCCCTTAATGAATTAAATAACCATGGTACAGAACTAAATTCCAGTTGACCATATTGTATTTTCCAGGTAAAATCAACCAGCCCAGCTTCAAATCCTATTGCTGAGGATGGACAAGGCTGAAGCTCTGGCCTATGAAAATGAAACAAGCACAGAGTTAGTTATGCAGATCTTTCCTGACCCTTTCTCAGCTGCAGCTCTTGAAGCGCTGAACAAGAGAGTTGTACAACGTCTTCTAAAACTGCTTTGTGGAATGCAGGCTTGACCATAAATCCTTGGTTTCTGGTCTTCTATGAATTGACCTTAATCTGATCTATTCTTCCCTCCATCCCTCTGCAAAAAAAAACCCCAAACCTCTTGAGGGCTTAATTCCTAGATGTTCACTTTAGAAGATGAAGAGAAAAAAAAACCCCTAAGCCCATAAATCAGCAAGTGAGCTAGTGCTCCTCAATTTGGTAAAATCGATGTTATAACTGGCACCCTCTTTTAGAGAAATCTGGGGTTTCAGACGCTGAAGGGCTGTACCTGCCCTGGGTTCCAAAAGACATCTGGCGGCAAACGCTGACTCTTCCACCTTACCTCTTTACAGACAGATTGCCATGCCTTTTTTTTTTTTTTTTTTTTTTTTCCCCTCTGGGAAATGCCAATGCCCGACGGGGCCCGGCGATATGGAACCTTTTTTGTTGTTGCTCAGCAGGCTGGCTTAGTAACGGTGGTGCGGAACACCTCGCCGTACTTTTTCCGTGGGCAGCTCCCCGGGAGGTTGCAGCGCTCGGGAAGGTCATTTCAAAACTCTGAAGAGCGACGGTTGCGGTCACACACGAGGCCCTCCCGGTCCCC